TGGGGGGGTGGGCCAGGGAAGCTTTAGCGCAATTGATAAAACTTTCTATGCATCTAAGCTCCGTGTGCTGTTCACGTACAGGCCAACTGCGTGTTTGCGACTGAAGGACAAAGTTCCAGACTCTGCGGTCCCATTCTGTGTATACTCATTTACTTGTTCCTGTGGAACAACGTACATAGGCCGCACGGTCAAGCGATTGTCCGAACGGATTCGTGAACACCACCCCGCGCGGTTGAACACCGGAACGATTAAGTCACTCACCAGTGCAGTGATTCCACACCTAGCTGAAACAAATCATACCGTGAACGTGTGCGAGGCTTTCCGATCACTATACAAAGTTCGCGGGCGATTATCGAGTCAGGTTCGCTGTCGGATGTTGGCTACGGCAGAAGCGGTAGGCATTCGTCTGCACAACCCCTCTCTGTGTGCCCAAAAACAATTTGTGCAAGCGCTGAAGCTTCCCTGGCCCACCCCCCATTCAAACCGCATCGTGAGTAATCTCGATGGTCGGATGAGTGGACAAACAAACGTGATCGTGGTGAACCCGATTTCCGGTCTCACGATGAATTCGGTTTTAGTAATCTGTTTTTATTTTATTTTCCCATGACAATTTTATTCCCAAGTAGTGATATATATTGAGATGTATTGGCATGAATACGAATCCCTGAAAACGAGCTTGTTCGCCATTTTGTTGTTTTGTTTGAAAAGCTGGAATGGTTCAAGACGGGTTTATCTGAAAACGAAACCAGATTTGATGCAAAATTTTTGAATGGCTCATTTCATCGAATTCTAAGCAGATCATTTCTTCCTCAAAGTGACGCTCATTAATAGACGTTGCGTAACATATTCTATCATATCACTTTTGTCCTCGGGTAGCCGCATACACGGTATGGATTTAAACCCGGAAAATGTTCATCAGCTCTCGCAGAAGCACAGATATCCAAGCTCTTTTGACAAGATGCATGGTCCAGAGAATTATCGATTTCTACTTTTATATGAAATTACTCCTCTTCTACCAGAAAAACAAGATGTATTCCAATAAATGCTATCGGAATGAAAACTGAAAGGTTGGTTGTAACACGGAGAAATAGCTTGAAGATAGCCTTATTAATTTTATATTCGACAGTGCCGCGGGTTATGCGTCCTCTAGAAACCATTTTACAGTTGAAATCGGATAACCAACTTTGGAATAACGTGGAAATCTTCCATGGAATTTTTTTAAACGAATTAAGATTGCCGAGTAGGCTATTGCCATCAATACTACGAACACATCCTGGAGCTTCCTTGAACTCCCAAGTGATTTCGCTACTGAACTCTGTCTGCGTTGTACTTAGCTAATTCAGTATCTCCAACACATTCTGCTCCTCTTTGACGGACGCTTCCACAGTTTCACATCAGATGACACTGTCTTGGACCGCTATGTGTGTGCATTCCTCACAAAGATGATCACGTCAGTGAAAAGTGTCATGTATGTGTCACATTAGGTGTAACCTCACTGTACATATGATGGTTGATCAATGGTCAACCCATACATCGATCAGCGACCAAGTGAGTAAGTTTCAGGAAGTGCGACATACTGACGGGGCGGCATTGCATAATCAGGACCTATACTGTCAGATCTGCGGTTGGTTTGGGTTCTCTGACAAGTGGGAACATTTGAAAATTCTAATTCCTGTGGGGGCGACATTCTTCGGTGAAATTTTCAACCAATTTATTTCCATTGGTTTTCATAGACCGCGATAGTTCCTCAATATTACCGTTGCACGATAAATTTTGGACATGTTCAATCGTGTTTTTGTTCCCATCCAATCTTTTTTTAACGTGTCTGTGCAGTTGGAAAGAAGTTTGCGTATGGAAGAAAGTGTGTTTGGAATGAAACGACAGCGAAAAGAAGTTGATTATTCGGACGCTCTAACAGAACGCCAGTTCCTCAAAGCTATTGACGAGGGTAGTCTGGAAGAAGCAGAAGAACGTCAACGACAAAAGCGTGCTGCAAGAAAGAAGCGAAAGCGTATCGACGTAAGTTCGATTTTCTCTTCATCTAATCCTATATGTTGTCGTTTTCTCAACGATTTGTGTGGTCCCTTAATCCTAATTGTTCACGTATTGCTCCGATCTAAATTGCATAGTTGTGCAAGCATCAGTTATGAAACACTCAAGCAGTACTCGTCAGCACGAACTAGACAGGGTTTAGACCCATACAATGACACTGTGATTGACGTTTTAGAATAAGACTGGCAAGTGCGCTACTGTTTCCAAAGTAAACCAAGCTACGGACAATTTCCAGCCGTTCATTAACTAAGGGACGTGCGATAAGCAATGCACTCAAGCTTCGATTTTCTTAGTTGTTCACTTCTCTGGTTCGTCTCTTCGGATAGGAATGCCCCAGGAGTAGTATGTTAGCATGCTGAGGTCACCATACTCACATATTTCCAGTTGAATGAGGGTCCAGAACGAACGAAGTAGCTCATTCTTCACCAGCTGCTTCGTTCGTCAAGGGTGCCCATGCGGGCCGTTTCTGTTCAATTTCGTCTACAACTAAATACCGGCGAACGCGCACTAAGTGGCCTCAAAAATGTTGGTATTCATTCGGGAGCCGGAGTAAAGCTGCACATTTTCGTGTAGATCTCATTTTATTTCTTCAGATGAGTTTTTTCGGTCATGTGTTAATTGCAAACTACGCACACTAGTTTTCACTAGACACTGCATGTGAATTTGTCTGTACCAGTTTCCAGTTGATTGTGTTTAGCTCTTCTGCTCGCTTTCTCTAATACAAATCCTGATCCCCAATTTAATAGGATTCCAGCTTCATGGACGATGCAAGTTCGGAGGCTGGCAGTACGTCAATGGCCGCTCCGCCAACAGCCAAACGGCGCCGTGGTCGTCCACCTCACAGTTCTGGATCCACAGGTGGACGTGGTGGTGCTTTGTCACCCAAATTGGTCAAAAAGATGCAAAGGTTATTGGATATAATCATTGAATACAAAGATAAGTGAGTTTCGTGGTTCCCAATTCACTCCACTTCTTATGCAATGCAGCAGTAGCACTTTACGGTATCCGATGCGTCTTTTTATGGCGTGAATGGTAGGCATGTGAAACTGAAAAACTGCGTTGAGGTTTCTGCTAAGGTCCCAGTCGACTTTAAATGCGCATTAAGGGATAGTTTACCACTTCAGTAGAATGCAACAAGAAATGCCTCATGCAGTCTAAAATGTAAATAGCAGCAAAGCCTTTGTATCAGTCAGTATCCACAGCATTGAATTAGCTCCGTACTCGTAGTGTATTTAATGACCTCGTTTTTCATATTGAGAATTTCACTGTTGAGTATGCTCGAGGGTGGTGTAATCTAGACATTTGTCGAGTTGATTATATTCACCTAAAGGCATGCTTGAACCTTTCTTAAGGTGGACGGCCTTTTGAGATCATTTGCTTTCTCTCGAAAACGGTAGACAGTGAAAACTGGTAACGATGATGTCGCTGATTGTTCTATTCCTCCGAAAATACTAATCTACTTCTGATTTGCTCTACAGTATTGTCCCTAATGTGGTGACGATTTGTGCACTTCTTTGACCCAACGAGCTACACATCAAGCCAATAGATCTTATTATGCCCGGATGTCAGAGAGTAGAGGTCAGATAAAGTCCCGTCTCTTGGTTCCTCTGGGTTGGTTTTTTTCGACTAGAGTTAGCGTCAAAATGGTGAAGGACTAATTGATCCGAGTAAAACGGCCACCACTTCTAATTACCCGCTGCCCTGCGGACACGTCGTCCGAACTAAATGCTTTGAACGAGAACCCTGATCGTTCTGCTTCTATGGTTGGATATCCCGGCAGAATCTGTTCAGCAAACTCTAATGCATACATGAACCAAATAATTCCATACTACATCGCTGGATAATGGAAACCGCGCTAATCGTCGCACCGAGCTGGATGGTTAGTGACAAGTAGGCTACTGCTCAACTTCTCTTTATCTTCCGTACCGAAACCACTCTACACCCAACCCGTAACAGTCCGTCAGGCGACTGGTTCGTCACTCACCAATGCTGGTTGCCGAGTAATGCAGTAAGTTCGGGGCTACTAAAGGATATGAAGGCAATGGTGTTCTTGTTTGCATTTATCATCAATCCAACAACTGTGTTCAGGTTTGAATTGTATAATCTGTGTTGAACATGGAGTTTCATTCTGTTTCAAAATAGGCCCTATCCCTGTCCCCCTTATATACTATCACCAGTTTTGTATGCGTGGTGAGTTTGGAAGTGATCAATTAGGTTGGTTTCACTGTATTCTGCTGTGCCATGAGGATAATACAATATTGTCTACTCGAATTTTCATCATCCTTATAAATATTCTCGTTTTATTCGGAATTCAGTGATCAACGAGTCCTTAGTGAACCGTTCATGAAACTTCCGACACGAAAGGAGCTACCTGACTATTACGAGGTTATTAAGAAACCTATGGATTTCCATCGCATCAAACAACGCGTTCGTGATGGGAAGTATCATTCCGTCGATGAACTGGAAGCTGATATCATGCTTTTGTGCAAGAATGCGCAGACCTACAACATGGATGGCAGTTTGGTGAGTTGTCTGATTCCTTTTGTCGCAGTTGCGGGAATGGTTAAAATTAATGCTATTATTTATTCCGTCAAGTCCACATTTCCAGTGATTTCATTTTTTTTATGAAATTGTCCCCTATTCATCAGAAAGCTGTGTTAAAGGTTTCCAGCACCAGATTTCTTCATAGTTAGCTTTCGATTTCACGGTTTCACACTTAGAACAACTGAAGTTGCAGTTGTTTGTGCGTGAGCTTTTTTTACAATACGTTGTTACCCTGGTTCACGGTTGTTTATCTCTCTCCCAAACCATATTATGTTCAGATCTTTGAGGATTCCGTCGTTTTGCAATCGGTCTGGACCAATGCACGAGAACGACTGGAAGAACTGGAGTCGCGCCAGCACAGTGAATCACGTCATCATCACTCGCATCATCATCATCACCACAGCCATAGTCAGCAACATAATCAGTCACAAGCTTCACACAGTTCACATCATCGACATCATCAATCAATTGAGGACGAGGATGATGAGGAAGAGGAGGAAGACGATCGTGAAGAAGAAGAGGAAGCCAGTGAGGGCTCTAAGGTCATCAGTTCAGGTGGTCCGGGATCCACGCGTTTTGTTCTACGCACGGGTGCTGGAACTACCACAGCCACGTCAACACAGCCTTCTGGATCTGCGACGGTGGTTGAGCAGATCAATAACGAAGACAGTCTGGGCGGCTTGGACGATGACTTAGATGATGAAGACGATACAATGGATGGCCCACCCGATGATGGTATGTCTTGTTCGTTTTTTCTGTACTTATCTTGTCGCAAGATACTTCGATTTTCACATTTCTTCTTACTGGTCATTTCACGAAAAATTTCGTTTTATCTTCACCAATCCAAAGCTCGATGCTAACACTCCACGAAAATGCTGAGCAAGCGTTACCTCCATCACAAGAGGTAACAGTGCGTTCTTTTTGTCCCGGCTGGAAGAAGAACCGAAACCCTTGATCCTAAACCACATAACCGATCGTCTTCCCATCTCGAGTGCTTGGCTCCATTAATTACTCTTCCTAACCGATTGAGCCCATGCGAGTTCCCGGATTGCATTTGAAAAATCTAACGGGTAATTATGATGTGAAATAACAAACAAAAAGTCTGAGCCACTGGTAACAAAACGAAATAATGACTGCAACCATGCGTGAGGTTAGACGACAAGGAAGCACTTTTTTCTCGAAGTTAATTTCACTCGTCTAAGGACTCTATATTAACCCATCTTACACTCAATTTTGCGTTAGTTGGATCAAATTGGTTTTACTAACCACTGTTTTTTTCTCAATTTGTCACAGACGACAGCGCCAGTCGGAGCTCTTTTAGTAGCAAGGCCAGGCGGGCAGGACGCAAAGGCGGCTATTCTCGTCCGAATAACAGCACATCGAATAGCAATGGCAACAGCCATAGTGCATCTGCTAGTTCCACTTCAAATGCACGACTGATCGGTTCATCCGGGAACACGTCTCGTCCAGCCGCTCAGGGTGCTTCCGAGTCCGGTAGTGTTGCTGGAACATCGTCTACTGACGTTGCCTCAGCTGTGGGCACCGGAACGGGTAGCGTTGACAGTTCTCTTCCACCACGCAAAGCACGTGCTCATAAACGGGTGCTGGTTGTAGATGATGATTCTGATGAAGACGACGAGGATTCGGACAACGATATCGGAGATGACGATCCCGATGATGAAGACTTTTAGATATTTTCTCGTTCGTTCTGTTCCTCCTGCACGAAAATCATTGAATGGTTTCTTGGGGCCGCAGCTTCACTGTCGTGGTACTTTAACGGTCAACATAATCGCACCGTGCATGCGACATACTAAACTCCAAACTACCCGTGTTATTACTGTACTTCAATTTGTTTCATCTTCGTTGGTTTACTCATTTGTGTTGTGACTATCTCGTCTGTAACACTTATCATGCAATACATCTGCAATGGAAGTTGAACTGTATCATATAACTTATCACTTGTTCATGTGATGGGCATTTCGCATCACGGTCCTCACCTTCACTGTAGAACATCAGTAAATACAATGAGCTGCGCGATTTCCATGTCTTCTCTTTGCATCTATTAAAAGGAAAAGTTTCTTCTTGCGCTCGCCACATTTTCGTGTCATACGATCGATTTCCAACAACTTCCCATTCCATTTATCGTCTCGTAATCACTACATGATACAGTGAACGATGGTGTCACCGGTATTAAATTTGTTTCCAATCAGAGAAAAATACTTGATTGATACCAAGCTTGTGGCACTGTTGGCTAGTCCTTCACATACAAAGTGATTAGACATCACTTATGAGGCCGAAGAGTGGATGGTGATCGTGCTCTACAGAGTAGACAGCCTATCACTGTTGATCGCTTTCAAACTAATGTTCAAGCGATCGATAAGTTGGATATGAAACTCGTGTTATATCATTAGGGTAGCATTTGTACGTAGCCACCGAATGTATTAGTACTGCAACGCAGGTAGACCATGACTGTGGTGGTTGGTTTATCGTAACAATCAATGGCGAATCATGAATGTTTATTACTAATCGCCATGATTTTTATACTTCGCACACGTCTGAGCCCATAATGTACGCCGAACGATCTTCGGGACAATGTTCTTTATAAGAAATAAATCGGTGGTACACTAACAGAATGTTCAGGTTAAACAAAGCATGTAAAATGATGTCAGCGTCGATAGTATTCCCGGCCCCTCTTAATCAACAATGCTTATGAGGTTTTTCTGTGATGTAAACTCTGGAGCGTTAGTGCATATTTTGGGTAAGTATATCCCTTGGGTTCAAATCTAGATCGCACACGAGTAATCACATTTCGTTGACGCGCAAAACAATAATCAGCATTTTGCTAGACACGAGTAATAAACTACGGCTATATTGTGCTGGAAAATAACTTCAAGATGATCATAGACTAGGAATAAGATGTCATTCCGGTGTACGGATATGTGCACCAGGATCTTACACGCCACGTAGTCTAGCGAGTTTGGTCAGGCCAGTGCATGATAAGGTGTCTTCACCGTGTTCCGATCGTTAATCCGCTTACTGAAGTGCCGCTCTTTCACAAATCATGTCAGTAATAGTTCCACGCTTTGAGTTCATCTAAGTTAAAGTTCTCTTCGTTGCTAGATCTGCCGAAATTCCTTTCGTTTATCCAAGTTACACAAGTCTCAGTTCTCAATGAAACTGTCTACTGATCATTAAGTAGTTAGAGCGATGCACCTTTAATCCAAGTGTTTGTTATATCATTCGCACCTAGACGTTGAACCCGAGCATAATTTCCAACCCCGATGCGTCACACAAGGAGCTTGAAGCCATACGTACTA